GAGGCAGATCCAATGTTTTCCAGATGTTCTAAAGAATCTCCTTGTCATTGCTTATGCTGGTTCAGGCTAATAGTAATTGAAGTCCAAAAAAATCTGGAACATACTAGATGGACTGCCTCTAATTTTTTCTGCGAAAATGTGACATCCCTCCCTTCATTTCATATTTGAAAATAGCCCTGTCAAATGTAGTACCATCCTGAATTTCCTCCTGCTGTGTTAAAGGTACAGTCCAACACAGTTACTATTCAAATAGCCTTTTGCTGCTGTCTTAAGCAACTATTAAATAGCCCTACAAAAGTGAATGTATTTAAAAGGGTATCATTAACAATTCCGAATTCTGTTTACTCGGTATACTTGTTAGCAGGGGTGGGATTCTACCAGTTCACACCTATTTGCTAGAACCGGTTGTTAACATTCTAAGCTGTTCGGAGAACTGGTTGTTAGAAGAAATTACTGGCCTAATTCTGTAAGGAAGGCAGAGGGAAACATTCTGGTGTTGCTTACAGAAACTGCCTCTCCGTGAACCTTTATTACATTCTTGGCAGGACTAGACTTCCTGTCTCTGGAACTTCTCTGGAGTTTTTTTCCCCTCCTTTGCTGGTACTTTGCTTGTGTGGAGTGACCATTCAAAGTTACGATGGTACTGAAAAAAGTGACTTATGACCATTTTTCACACTTACGACTGTTGCAGCATCCCCACAGCCAGGAGAGGCTAGGCTAGGAGATGCGTGCCTCGATGTGAGTGATATTGAGTTGGCCATGCCCAGCCAATAACATGACCACCAAGCCACGTCCACCCAGTCACATGACCACCAAGCCACACCCACCAACTAAGCCAAGCCCACAGAACCAGTTGTTAAAAATTTGAATCCCACCCCTGCTTGTTAGGTTTTAAATACTGGGCCCCTTCTTTAATAGGTATTTCTGTGGAAAACCTATGCAGCATGGTTAGTAGAAGCCGTCATTTATTCAAGGTCAACAACCGTGATGAGATTCAGGCTTATTTTTAAAAACCGTTCCTTGCAATGCTATTCTCCAGAGCTTCCCATCTCAACTCATAAACTTCTATTAAGCCCGAAGCAGCAGTCAGATTCTTCAGTTGCAATTGGCTAAGCCAGTTAAGTCATGCAGCCTGTATGGATTTCACTGACATAGTATTTAAGTGAAATGGTATGGTATAGATTAGGTTTTCTCTTTTCCTTGAAATTAGATGATAAATTATAGGAGAAATCTGTAAAACTAAAGGGACAAAGTTCAGCTCCTATTTCACACTGATGGTTCATTTTTATTGAGATGAGATTTTTTTTAATTCCAAATGGTGATACTTCTCCAGATTCTTCTCTAAAAATCAAAGTAATATTTCATTCTTCTTGCTAAACCATAGGCAAATATAGAAAGGAGTACAAATCAGAGTTAATTTAGAAGTGAAGATGGTTGTCTTTAGAAATAATTGCACAAATGTAAGAAATTAATTCTTAGAAAATAAAATGCTAAGAGTCGTGTTGAGATATATGAAATAGAAGATAGTACAATGAGATTTAATTTGAAATCCAAATACTTAAAAGATCATTTATAATCAAAATTAAAAATACTCCAAATAAAATATTCTTGACAGAAGCATACTATCAATTAGCAAATAGAAATGAAAAGAACAGCAGAAGCGATTTTTAGGATTCGTATTCAAGTTTCTTGTTAGTAGTATCAAGCTTTTTGGCTAATTTAGAATGAACCAGTTACTGTAATCAGCCTTCATAGGCCAAAACCATAAACTGACAGTTCAGAGTTTAGAATTAAAAGCAATATGTATGTCTTGATCTCAAGGGGCCAGGAGAAACACAGATTTGTTTAAATTCCCTTTTGCTTCAAAGCTGTATAATGATCAGAAACTTACATAGTGGAGCTTTTAAAAAGTCTTCACAATAGGTATGGGGAAAGGCATCAATTATTCTTATCCTGTTATAAAATTTATTCATGTCTGGGAACTGTTATAAGTGAAACTTCACTTCTACCAATAGAAGACAATATTTATAGCTCAGGGTTGAACTGTGGAGTTCTTGGTGCTCTCCGACCTTGGTTGTTTCCTTGAAAACATTTCATTACCCAGCTAGGTAACATCTTCAGTGCTATGGGGTTTACTTTCTGATTATATACAGAAAGTTTGTCCTGCCATTGTTGGTGGGAGTGTTCTTTTCAGCTTGGGTAGTTCCTTGATTAGGCTGTTGTTTACTGCTTGATTGTTTGTCTGCTGTGGGTCCTGGCTTTGATCCCTGCTGGACCAACCAGGGATCCCAATATATAGGTAAAGAACTTACAAAAAAGTTTGGACATCTCACAGAGGGGAGAAAATATTATATCAACTGCCTACCACAGTGCCTCCAGAGAATTTTAAAAAAAAACAAATAATAGATGAAATTATGGTTTCCTTCAATGTCACAACACTTTACATCCATAAACCAAGAACTAGCAAAAGAATCCATGGTAACTGTACTATACAATATACCCAACCTAACTAAATACACTAAGTTCAAAATACTCAGAATCATACATCATGGGTCCCATCCATCTTTATCTTACTACATGCATTCAACAAATCTGAGGGACACCCATGGGATCACTACTCTCAGGATTCCTAGGAGAGACTGTAATGCAGTGGCTAGAAAATATTGCACTCTCATGCATACAACCCAAAGTATGGATCTGTTTTGTAGATGACACCTTTGTCATAATAAAAAAGGAACAACTAGAGAAGAAATATGAAAGAATGTCTTCAAAGGAATAAAAGTCACAAGGGAAGAAGAAGACAACAACACGCTCCCCTTCATAGATATCCTCATCAGCAGAGGAAACGGTAGCAAATTAGAAGCACAACTTTATCAAAAAACCTACCGATACTAACCAAGTGTTCCACTTCCAAATACCAACAAAAGAAGCTGTGTAAGAGCATTATGAGCCCTGGTGGCGCAGTGGTTAGAATGCAGTACTGCAGGCTACTTCTGCTGACTGCCGGCTGCCTGCAATTTGGCAGTTCAAATCTCAAGGTTGACTCAGCCTTCTGGGTTCAAATTGTGGGGGCAATATGCTGACTCTGTAAACCGCTTAGAGAGGACTGTAAAGTACTGCAAAGCGTTATATAAGCCTAAGTGCTATTGCTATTATTCAGATGAGCACAAATGCACTGCAATTATCCAGAACATCAAAAAAGGAAACACCACCTATACAACATCTTCTAACAAAATGAATATCCACTTAAGTTTATAAAAAAAAAAATCCTGATCACTCAACCTATTACAGCGCAACCATCATAAGCTATGAAAAGGATAGCACTCCCCATACTTCAGAAGGAACCAACAGACTATTGCAACCACATGGCATCACTGTAGTATATAAACTAAAGTTCTCCAAAATATCTTAAGTAAACCAAAAGACCCACTAGCCCAAGAAGAAAAAACAGGGTTCATCTACAATACACAGTGTGAGGACTATAACAGCCACTCTCTAGGACAGACAAGCAGAAGACTAACAGAACACATCCATGAACATCAACTAGCAATCAGAAGACACAATAAAATGCCTTAATTTGGACAGACTTAACTATAGTTTCAGCTGGGAAACTGTGAGCATACTAGACCAAGCTAAATTAGGGAATTCCTAAAAGCTTGGTATTCAGACAGATCAACATGAACAGAATCATAGTGATAAACCATATATAGACAACTTTTAAAAAATACAATTAAAAAACTAGAAACAAAAAGATAAGAACACCTCCTTGCCATGAATCAACACCCAGATAAGCAGGGATTGATACCAGAAGCAACACCAGACAATCAAGCAGTAAACAACAGCCTAATCAAGGAACTACCAAGGAGAAATCTACATCCCCACCAACATAGACTTGACAAGTTATTGTATATAAATAAAAAGCAAACCTCACACTCTTCTAGCACTGAAGATGTTACTACTGAATAATGAAACATCTGCAAGAAAACAAACAAGCTCAGAGAGCACCAAGGATTCAACTTCACACTATTGCTAAATGAGTACATTTGCCAAAACTTGACTGAAAAAATCTGGATGAACACAAGATGGCAGCAATCAATTAGAGATTTTTTTTATCCCTTCGTTGCTATCTAGGAGTTACTGGAAGCCAGTTGTATAGCCCCATGAAGTGGTGGTAAAATAGGTTATACAAGATAGGTAAAGTGAAATTTCATTCCTCATTGAGTGACAGTAATTCAGCTAGGGTGATACAATTTAATTTCCAAGTATGAATCATTGCATCTGTCTGATTTCCATATTAATTTTTACTGAAACCAAAGTTACTTCCTTAGGTGTAGCCAATTTAAAGAGTTTTAAATACAGTAGTAGAAATAGTAGAAATCCCTAGGCCAGCAGCTAAGTGCCAGTAGCTAAGCACCAAGGAACCAGGCTATAAACCTAAAGACCATAGGTTGTAGTCCCATCTTAGATACAAAACTAGGTGCATGACCTTGACAGTAGCTCCTTTCAGTCCTAGGAAGAAGTCAAGGGCAAATCACTTCCCAAAATCCTGCCAAGAAAACTGCAGGGACTAATCCAGGCAGACATCAACACTCACTCAAGGCAACCTCCCCCCCCCACCACCAAAAAAAGCCACTAGCTGTGCCCCAGATTCTGGTCTTGTGTTGCAAATTTGTATATTGATTGCTTCCACAGTCCTCACCTCCAAGTCCTGTCCCTCCCACCCTACATGCCTGCACCTTTGTTCATGAGGGAAAAGGGGAACCTCTGAAACCCTTATAATTGCACCTGTTTGATACAGCTTCATCTCCATTTTGTGGCTCCCACGCATGCTTTCAAACCTGCTTCTACCATGAGGCTACCAAAAAGCCATTGTTTACTTCAAGCAAGCTCATTATTATTTAACACGGTTATATATAAAATGTTTATAAACCTGTTATGCAGAAAATATTAACTCTTTGTCTCTTCCTTCCTTTTCTTTTTTTTTATTTCTTTTTATATAGCACTCCTCTTGACTCAAGGTAAGTCATTTTTCCCCTTCCCCCTTTTCCTTTTCTCTGTTTCTGCTCTGTCCTTTTCTTGTCTACAGCCTAGATTCTAAATATTGTCTTTCATTTGGAATGAGTTCATACTTCAAGGATTTCACCTCAACATTTAGAACCAATGCCATTGTTGAGAATAACATGAACCTGAACCCTTGCCACGATGCAAGGAAAGGGGTTCAGCTGGAGAGAAAAAACTGGGGGTTGTTGGAACTGAGGTCCCATCTGTGTTCTCTACACACCCTTGAGGGGACCTGCCACATGCCAGGGTGAACTTGTAGTGACAAGTTCATTTTTCACAGATGAACATGATAGGCAGACGAGAAGAGTGAGTTCAGCCTTGTCATTCTGACTCAGCAAGAGGAACACAGAATGATGGCATATCGTTCCAAAAGCATCTGCAGGATCTGATCTTTTCATCCAAATGATGAAAGACTCACCATTCTATGTTTGTGCAGTACAAGATAAGAGAGGATGATAAGATGAGATGATGGGATGGGATGGGACAGGATAAGAAGATAAGATGAGATAAAATGAGATGAGATGAGATAACCTTTATTATCATTTTTTTATTGTGACCACACTGTCACACATTAAAAATGAAATTCTGTTGCCTGCTCTCATGTAGCATATATATCACTGTCCATTTTGAATACATAGTGGAAAGAGTAAACCTGAGAGTTCACAAGGTTGATACTATATGGAACAAAACTGTGACTGAATCTAGATGTTCTGCCTCTCCCAGAAGGTAATAAGGAAAACAGATCACAATGCTTCTACAAAAGGGTCAGGATTTGAAATACAACGACACGCTTTTAGCATTTGCTCGACTCCCCCTGGATATCTCTGCACTTTGTTTGAGATTGTAAGTCTTGTGCATCTTGTCAAGTGCAAACAACTAGAATCACTCAAGGATAGGCCCAAATAGATACTCTGTTGTTGATCACCTGTATTACAAGAATCTTGCCAGACTATCTACCTTCCCTTGGGAAATGGCAGATATACACCTAAGGGTTTGATTTCAGACATTTCCTTCTCTGAACAAACTCTAAATTGGAATTTCTCTTTATTCACATAAAGCCCACCCCACCCTTTCAGCCATTGGTTCCACCACAGATCTGGAGTAAACAAATTAGGAATAATCATTGCTAGCTTTGAGATAGTGGTACAATAAAGATGGCTTTGATTGTTGGTCTTCTACAATCATATAGTTTCCCTCCAGTTGTGTTGGATTACACCTTCCCCATATGGGAATTATAATTAAGTAAATCAGGAAAGCTGCCTTGAACATTTATTTATTTAGATATTTATTTGATTCATATTCTGCCTTTATTTGGACCACTAAAGGCGGCATACATAATGTTCCTCTCTTGTATTTTACCCACAACAACTCTGTGAAATGGATTAGGCTAGGAGAAAGGGACTGGCCCAAAGTCAGCCAGCTGGTTTTCATGCCTAAGGAAGGATTAAAACTACAGCTGTCTCCCACTTTCTACTCCAGCACTTTATAGATTAGCCATAACACTAAATCAAATCTCTCAAACTCTCAATCAAGTGCTGAAGACAGTTTTAATTCATTTATTCAATTTGTAGTTTGCCTCCCTGATTGGTAAGTGTGGAAAAATGGCTGGCAAAATTTAAGAGCATAAACAATATGAAAAGTTTAACATAGATATTAAAACAATAAAATAAATACCAAAAGACCAGCAAAAGGTATGTATCTTTGCATATTTTTCTAAGTAGTGAAAGAGTGAAGATCAAACAACTCTTAAGGAAGGGCATTCCATAGTCTGCAGGCAATGGAGTACAAAGTACTCTCCAGATGCTAGAATGATAGCCTTGCAAGCACAGTGTCTCTACGTCTTTCATAGATTAGAAGCCTATCTGCTCTATATGAATGAATTATTTATTGGCCAAGTGTGATTAGACACACAAGGAATTTGTCTTGGTGCATATGCTCTCAGTGTACATAAAAAGAAAAGATATATTTGTCAAGAATCATAAGGTACAACACTTAATAATAGTCATAGGGTACAATAAGCAATCAAATCATACCAGGAAACAATCAATATAAATTGTAAGGATACAAGCAACAAAGTTACAGTCATACAGTCACAAGTGGAAGGGGATGGGTGATAAGGAGTGATGAGAAAATTAATAGTAATGCAGACTTAGCAAATAGTTGGACAACGTTGAGGGAATTATTTGTTTATTGATGGCCTCGTGGTGTAACTGGAACCATCTGGATCTGAACACACTCAAAACCATAGAAATGGTGATAGACTTTAGAAGAAACCTTCCTATACATCCATCTCTTACAATACTAGACAACACAGAATCAACAGTAGAGACCTTCAAGTTTCTAGGTTCTATCATATCTCAAGACTTAAAATGGACACCTAACATCAAAAACATCATCAAAAAAGCACAACAAAGAATGTTCTTTCTGTGCCAATTCAGAAAGCTCAAACTGCCCAAGGAGCTGCTGACACAGTTCTACAGAGGAATCATTGAGTCTGTCATCTGCACCTCTATAACTGTCTGGTTTGGTTCTGCAACCCAACAGGACAGACACAGACTTCAGAGGATAATTAAGACTGCAGAAAAAACAATTACTACCCACCTGCCTTCAATTGAGGACCTGTATACTGCACAAGTCAAAAAGAGGGCTGTGAAAATATTTACAGACCCCTCACATCCCGGACGTAAACTGTTTCAACTCCTTTCCTCAAAACGACGCTATAGAGCACTGCACACCAGAACAACTAGACACAAGAACAGTTTTTTCCCGAAAGCCATCACTCTGCTAAACAAATAATTCCCTCAACACTGATCAACTATTTACAAAGTGTACACTACTATTACTGTTAATCTTCTCATCACTCCTTATCACCCATCCCCTCCCACTTGTGATTGTAGGACTGTAACTTTGTTGCTTGTATCCTTACGATTTATATTGACTGTTTCCTAGTATGATTTGATTGTTGATTGTACCCTATGACTATCATTAAGTGTTGTACCTCATGATTCTTGATTCTTAATGAATGTACCTTTTCTTTATGTATATTGAGAGTATTTACACCAAGACAAATTCCTTGTGTGTCCAATCACACTTGGCCAATAAAGTATTCTATTCTATTCTATTCTATTCTATTCTATTCTATTCTATTCTA